AAGGAAGATGAGCAATAGCGAACTTCAACAATCAAACAGCATCATACATATGAGTCCAGATAGTCTTGACCTCGAACCAACAGCAGAATTGCAACACGAGATTCACCAAATAAGAACACCCCAAGAATTCATAATTGACAATGCTGAATAAGTYCCATCATCATCAACGAAGAACCAGAGTTGATATCCTATCYGGYGCTCRGCGCCCAGACTACATGTGGCAGATCCTATCTAGCCTATRCTACGAAGCCGAAGGATGACATCAACAGCATTCCCGAAGTACGAGCATATGGCGATCAATGTCGCACGCTTCCAGCACCAGGTATGTCTCGCGCTACACTCACAACCTCGTTCCCCAACTCACAGATGCCACTAGCACCCAAGGACCACCCTGCGCCTCACCCAGCTTACAGCAGCGCAGCTCGGCTATGGCTGCGTGCTCCTTCCCTGCTCGCCTGTGAGAGTGTAGGCACCAGCCAGCAAATAGCGCAGCAGCGCTTGCACAGCATGCAGCCAGCACCCGAATCCCGAATGAGGAGGCAGGCCCTCTGCTTTATCGAAGTGGCCTGCCTGTGTCCAGTCCCAGGAAGCTTCCAGTAGGCCCCGGTAGCCTGAGGCCCAGTACACACAAGAACACGCCCAGGGCCTGAGGTGGTTGCATGTGCCCAACTGCCTGTGGCCTGTGTTCGGCCCGGTACCCGTATTCAGCCCAGGGCCTGCTTTTCATTCATTCACACAGGCGGCCCAGGGGCTGAGTTTCTTCAACCAACTGGNGCCTGTGTTCGGCCCGGTACCCGTATTCAGCCCAGGGCCTGCTTTTCATTCATTCACACAGGCGGCCCAGGGGCTGAGTTTCTTCAACCAACTGGTGCCGCTCAACTGCCTGAATTTCCTTGGTTGCGCAGTAGCCGAAAAAGCGCCCTGAGGGCCTCGTCGAGCCTGCCTTCACTTAGGGTGGCCGACTGGCTCCAAAATAGGGGCTCATAGAGGCATAGCCTCGCATTCCCTCCTCCTTAGCTTCAACAGTCCTCTGAGAAGCTCAGTCTTCGATCATGGGGCGCTTTCCCTTCTGCAGAGCTCTCTCGTATTGGGCTATAACTTGAGGTGCGGTCTGCATGAGTTCTTCCCTTGTAAACCAGCGGTCCTCCTTTGGATCAGTATGATGTCGGAACCGAACGTGGTACTGCAGCTTCGGTTTCGGAGGACGTCCCCTGCCTGTAGGTCTCTGAACTGGGAGCTCCCTGTGATCCACGATGTCATCAATGTCCACTTCTCCATCCATGGTTGGGGGCAGCATTGAGCGTCGCGAGGGAAACTGATCGGTTTCCTTGGATGGTGCAAGTTTAGAAGCGTGAAAGACTGGGTATGTACGGAGGTGACCAGGGAGGTGTCTGTTCTCAGACTCGATCATTGCCGCCTGTGCCTTCTGCATCTGTTCTACTGCCTGCTGCATTTTCTGTTCATACCTATAGGCAAATTCCAAGGTGCCTGGTGCAGCAGTTGACTGATTCTCAGGCAGGAGAAAATCTAAGGGCAGTCTAGGCTTGAAGGTCAGTAGTAGACTGTTTGGGCTCACCCCGGTAGCGTTGTGTATGGCGTTGTTATACATGCTGGCGATGAGAGCGAGCTTCTCATCCCAGTCCACCTGGTTGGGCTTAATGTAATGCCTCAACAGGTGTTGTACAGCGCGATTCAGTTGCTCGGCTTGTCCATTGGCCTCTGGGTGATTCCCAGAAGTCATTTGCAACTGTGTCCCCTGTTCAGCAGCAGCGGCCTTCCATAGCTCACTGGTGAAACGGACATCCTTGTCACTGAATATGGATTTGGGCAAACCAAAATCCCTAACCCAATTTTCTTTAAACAATCTAATGACGTACTCGGTCTTTGCTGACTCCGGCATGGCTATCAACCTAGCATATTTGCTAAACCTATCCACGATGACGAAGATGTGTCTCGTGTCGCTCTTGCTGGTGACCAGCGTGTCCATGAAGTCCATGGATATCCACGATGACGAAGATGTGTCTTATGCCGCTCTTGCTGGTGACCAGCGTGTCCATGAAGTCCATGGACAGGCTCTCACCTAGCCTTTCCGGAATCGGAAGGGGCTTCAGGAGCCCAAGAGGAGCCCGAGTACGTGGCTTGTCTCTCTGACAGACTTGACAAGTTTCCACGTACAGCTGGGCATCTCGCATCATCGTGGGCCACCAGAACCGCTACAGCAAGTTGGCTGCGGTCTTTTTATACCCAAAATGGCCGGTGGCATCACGACACTCACCTAAAAACAAACTACGCAAAGACTCACTATTAGGAACACACAATCGTTTATTCCCTGGCTTCTCAAGGAACAGCAAGCCATTGACCAACTCAAACTCGGCAGAGGTCTTCTTGTCCTTTGCCTGTAGTCTGCGTATGATCTCAGACATGAATTGGTCCTCGCGATAGGCTTCCACCAAAGAGTGAGTCACATCGTTCGTGAGATCGAACTCAGTAATTAGCGCACCTGAGAAATCAGGTCTACGTGACAAGGCATCTGCAACCTTGTTGTACTCTCCTTTCAGATACTGGGGGTCGAAGTCATACTGCTCAATGACTTCGATCCAACGCTTCAGGGCGTCAGAAAGTACGGGCTGAGTTCTCATCCATCTCAGAGTCTGATGATCAGTCCTGAGGATGAAGAATCTCCCAAGGAGATAGTGTCTCCAATGGGTCTGAGCCTTGTACACAACGTAGAGTTCCTTCTCGTAGGTGGACTTTGCCAACTTCTGAGACGGCATCTTTTTCGACATGTACTCGACTGGCCCCAACTTTGGCCCCTCCTGTTGTGCGAGCACGGCGCCAATGCCATATTGGCTGGCATCCGTGGTAACTATAAACGGCTTATCAGGATCAGGCGGTTTCAAGACCTCGTAGTGCATCAATGCATGCTTCAGATGTCTGAAAGCAGCTTCGCACTCGTCTGTCCACTCCCATGGGGTGTCAAGGCACGTCAGATCAGTCAAAGGAGCGGCTACTATACAATGGTTCTTAAGGAAGTTCCTATAGTAGCCTGTCATTCCTAAGAAAGATTTCATCTCAGTCACAGACTGAGGACGTGGCCAATCACGAATGCTGGCCACCTTCGCGTCATCGGGCTTCAACCCTTCCGCGGAGATCTCATGACCCAAGTACAACACACGGGTGCGGCCAAACTCGCACTTCTCACCGTTGATCTTGAACTTGTGCTGTCACAGGAGACTGAGGACTTTGTCCAAGTGTGCAACATGCTCCTCGACAGTCTTACTAAAAATAAGTATGTCATCGAGGTACACGATGACAAACTTATCCAAGTAGTCATGGAATATCCGGTTCATAGCGTGCTGAAAGGTGCGAGGAGCATTGCAAAGGCCGAAAGGCATCACCACAAACTCGTACAGACGGTACCTGGTCTGAAAGGCGGTTTTGTGTTGATCCTCGGGCCGGATTGCAATCTGATGGTATCCGGACTTCAGATCTATCTTGCTGAAGTACCCACACCCTTGCACTCTATCTAGCAGATCGTCGATGCGCGGTAGGGGCTCTTTGTTCTTAACAGTGATGGCATTGAGGCCCCTATAGTCAATGCACATCCTAAGTGTACCCTCCTTCTTCTTAGGTACAAATAGTACTGGAGATCCATAAGGAGAGACACTCGGCCGGATCCACCCCTTATCTACGAGTTCCTTGAGTTGGCGGCGTAGCTCATCAAGCTCGCCTGGAGACATCTGATAGATCCTACCCTTCGGGATACTAGACCCTGGGATAATCTCTATCGCGTGGACAACCTCCCTCTCAACAACCCCTGTCGGCTCTTCAAATAGATCAGGGTATTTGGCAACTACTCCCTCTATCTCCGGCGGCATTTTCACTGGCTCGCCTGCAGCAGAGACATAAACTAGATACATACCCTCCTCCTGGTGGAGAATGCGGCCGCACACATGCACCCGTAGGACTCAATCAGACTACTAGCCTTAAACTTATGTAATCTGGCGGTCCCTCCACCTGGCAAAGTGTGTTTTACCACTTTTCGGTCCCAGTCAAAGTGAGGGTGTGCAACCGAGAGGTAGTACATACCTAACAAGATATCCATGGGGGAGATCGTTGCTCACCAGGAATGAGACACGATGCCTCAATTCCCCTCCCGCGTACGGGAACAGGCACTCAACGTCCTTGAGGTAGTCATTAACTACCATGCACTGTTTGTTGGCACAGGTCGACTCCACAGGTCGACTCAGGCGCTGCACTCGCCCCTGTAAGCGCAGCCTCTCAACGCACGCGCGACTAATAAAGTTCCTCGTCGAGCAAGTGTCATAATAGGCCCCGGTCTTGCGACCGCCTACGATTATCTTGTTGACGAACATCTCACCCTTAGGAGCTTTATCCAGTGTCGTCCAAGAAGCTAGTGGGTCTGATCTAGACCACTCCTCCTCTAGCTCCTCTAAGGATTCAAACACATTCATCGAACAGAGGGTCGATGGGTTTGAATGTGTTTGCGGGACGACTGGGGAGTCGGTAGCTTGGGCCATATCGCGAGATGGCGAGGGTGTCTCTACCACCTCAACCCTAGTAGGAACAACTACTATTCCTACCGGCCTGACGTGTTTCCCGGAGTAGTGCCTGACGAACTGGCAACATTGCTACCTACGGAAGCGGAGGATCCTACCGCCTGCCCCATAGTAGGCGGGATCTTCTCGGTGACCTTCTTATTCCTACATTTGAACTGGTTATGGCCGTATTGGCCACAACGGATGCAGGCCTGTCGGTTCCACCGATCTCTCTAAACGTCCTTTGAAAGACCCGCTTTCTCCCATGGAGGAGCATTGGGGTCGACTTGACTCCTAGACCGGGAGCCCCCTCGGCGTCTACCGGTCCCCTTACCTTTTTGTAGGGTTACGGCGGCGACTACTCCACCCTCTGAAGTTTCGCCACCTGCCTCTGCACCTACTCCTAATTGGGGTTCGTCTTCCAACTCAATGGTTGACCCATCATTGTCAACAAACATAATGCGACCCTTGGCTTTCCAGTTAAGAGGCAGGGTCTTCTTTCTCCCATCCGTCGCTGGGTTGTGTCCATGCCCTATCTTAGCTTCAAGGTCTAGGGCCTTCTTGCTAAACGAGGGAAAGTTGTGCATGTTGATATTAGCCTCAACTGCCAACTGATTCCTAATTGGCATCGGCAGACACCTCAGGTAAGTTGTCAGTAAGACTTGGAGGTCATAGCGAACCCCAGGGACACAGATCAGACGCTCTACTGCGTCTATGGCTTCCCTAACTGACTTGAACGATCGAGCGCTCAAAGTCAGGATCGCGTCAGTGGCCTTTTGAGCCTCCTGAGGATCATGCCACCTTTCCTCTACTAACTTGAGAAAATCAACCAGCTTTTGGCTGGCTGCCCAAGCGCGGAAGTCATAACCATATCCCTGCAGCTGTACCAGACTGCTCAACCATCTTGCTGCACTACCCTCCAGGTACGAGGCAGCCACAAGCACTTCCTCATGCGGCAAGGTAAGCTTACACCTGACATAAACCGGCACAGACCTCAACCACGTGTCAAGGTCTTCGCCTCGCTTGTCGCCTGTAAAAGGCTTAGGTGCGGCTATGGCGGTCTTTGGAACCCATTGCGGTTGTCCCTGCAGCTGTCCAGGCTGTGGACTCTGGGGAACAGCTTGTTGTACCTGTTGCTGATGGGGCTGAGACCCCTGCGGCTGAACAGGCTGTAAGACAACTGGTTGCCCACTAATAGCAACCTGCGACGGAGTCTGGGTGACCACTGACTGTACTGGAACCTGTACACTAGGACCTGTTGACAACCCTCCTGTAAGCGGCATGCCCAGGGAAACGATAGCGACCGTTGACGGGGCTACATATGGGGATACCCGTGTCACCGGTGGGACAGAAAGAGGAGGATATGCCATGGGCCAGGCACCAGGCCCTGGCGGTGATGGCACCGCCTAAGAACGTCCGGCCAGAATGGCTAGGCTCTATTGGATGTCCTGAAGGATAGTAGTCTGATGCTCCTGCATCTCTATTACTCCTAGCAGGGCTTTCCTAACTACCCTCAAATCAGCATCCATGTTCGTCAGGTCCATCATTTCTAACTCCTCTATGTATGCTCCTCTTCGCTGCATCCTGGCTCTTCTTCGGATCATCCTCTCCTTCTCCGGTTTTATCTCTCCTAATGACCGCTGTAGCTGTGCCTCCTGCAGGGCTGCCTGCTGGATGGCGACATCCTCTGGAGTCAACACTAATGCCTGGCTTGCCATTACGCCAGTGGATTGACTCACGGTCTGCGCGACCGTTGACCCGACGACACTGAACTGCTGGCCTGGGAAGTCTGTTGTGCAGAGGTTACCATAGCGGAAGTGGCCATGGCTGCTGTAGCAGCGGCCTCGCTAGCTAAAGCCCTGCTGGCCTCGGCTGCTCTAGCTCTCCTCTGCTGCTGCCTCCTCTCCCTAAGCTGGCGGAACAGAATCCTATCACCCTTCGGTCCTAGGGACACGTGGGCTATCGGGCGCCTAGTTGATCGCAAGATCCGGTCGTCCTCTCCAGTGTCCTCCTCGTCGCTCATATGTTACAACTCTGTGCACAATCTGCACTAATGCACTCTAGGTGCCCACCGCAGCGTAGTGCACAGACCAATTAACTGGTGGCTATTTCAGAGCAGATACATTCGGGTTCTAACAGATAAGTGCAGATTCCTACAATGACACTATTTTTAGTTTGACTAGTCCGCAAACAGATGCACCATGAACAAGAAACTGTTCTAACTAATGTTGTCTGTCAGATGTCAATGGCAGTCCATCTAACTAATCAAAATAAAAATAATATCATTTGACTGGGTCTGTTCACAGCATGGGATCTAACACGAACTGACCACCTAGAATCTACCCTGTTCCCCAATCCCCACTTGATTGTCACTTTATGTCAGCGTTCCTGAGCAATCCGGTAGCATGCGTGACTAAAGGTGTGCACACGGCCCACCCCTGTGCCCTGAGTAGTTGTTGAGCTGGCCAGCCTTGCACGTATATTTACCCTCGGCGTGCCGCGAGCCTTACATCACTGGCTGATCAAGAGGCATTTTAACGTCCGCCCCCAAGTGACATCAGGAATTATTTGACGTCGCAGTAGGACGACGATCACAGCCAGTGATATCCCCTACCCGTGTTTATTTATAGACGCCGGGTTCTTGTCTCTCCTGTAGGGCTGGCCTGCCCAACAATACCCATCTATGAGCGCAGCAAGCAGACAAGGACTAAGCAGCAAAGCATGCGTGCTCTACTCCCGGTGGGTTGGCATGGTGACCGTGACCCAGTGCTTCGTCCAGGGCCCTTCAGAAAGCAACGCCCTCTCCTTCCAGATGCTCCACAGGAAGTATGCCGACTCTCAAGATTGAGCGCACACGACACCTCACATGAGAGGACTCTCAAGATGGGACACACAACCTCACGGTAAGAAGTGTCGAAGAGGGTAGATAAGGTTAAGAGCAACATACCTCAATATAGCTGCCCCCAACCACAGATATTCTCACCAGATGACCTGATGATGATTGCGATGACTAGTCACTGCTTCGGCACAACCAGCATTATCTCGCCGTTTAACCTCAGCATCAATCAATCACCAGATAGTTCTCATCACACTGTAAACACCCAATAAACACACACCACGTAGCCCTCCAGGCGATACCCCTCACCTCCTGGGTCGCCTACCACTCGTCTCCACCCTCCTCACTACACACCCATTACGGCCAAACTCTCCCAGCGGACCGCATGTATGTACCGAATAAGGCAGAAGACAAGCGCCAGATGAGCGCAATCGAACCGCAGCTCCGATACCAAATTGAAGGAAGATGAGCAATAGCGAACTTCAACAATCAAACAGCATCATACATATGAGTCCAGATAGTCTTGACCTCGAACCAACAGCAGAATTGCAAC